TGTGGTCTTTAATAACAATATCTGGCCGGTTGGCCTTGATTGTTCTGTCAGTGTGTATTGTGTAATCCCATAGAATTGTAACAGGTCCTATCTCCGTAACCGGGTCTGGGTGGTGTTCATACCAGTTTCTTTCAGTTTTCTTCCGTAGAAGTTGCAGATTTTCCAGTGCAGATATTGGCCCACTCTGTCATGTCGGGTTTTATATTCAGTGGGTGCCAACACCGTACAACCTGATACAAGATGATCAATCGTTTCTGTATATTTATAACAGAATCTGCATTTTGGGCTGACACAATATTTTAGTATATGTGCTTGATAATTCCTAGTTAGCAAGCATTGGTCCTGCGCAACAAGGATAAAACCTTCAGTTTCCGCTTTCAACCCTGCACTACGTAGCCACTGATGGGTACGGGTTTTTGTCTACGTCAGCTTGTTTGGTACGGGCAGAGTATTGGCCATGAAGCGGTTTATCTTGCCATCGCTTCTGTAACTGGTCGGTTGCATTCGTCTTAGCTATCTTTTTTAGGTATTTTGCAGTTTCAGCCGGTGTATTGTGCTGTAGTTGCATCTCTACGCCCATTTGGAACTCCATTTTGAATTTGTTGGCTTCCTTCATTACGGAGTAGAGACGCTTACTACTTTCATGTTCCTTGACGCATACCATCATCCAGTCTTCTGTAGTTTCCAAATATCTTTGGAGGCCAATTGTTGTAGTTTTGTAGGACAGTTCTAGTTGAACTAATCCTCTGCCTCCTTCGGATCTGGCACATACAGACGGTCGACATCAGCTTTGGGATGATGCATGCGATAGCAAGTGAGTAGCTTTCTCGTTTTGGCATCCATTCGCTTAATTTCAGCTATGTTCCAGTTAAGGACATTAAAGCTGTATTACTACAGGGACAGCCAATGTGTTTATGGCTGATATCCTGTTTTTTTTGAGTTCAGCTCAGTATTTAGTACCAGACGTACACGCCTGTAGTATTCTTTTCTTATTTTTTCCTTCATTTGGGGGTGTTGTATGCCATCTCCTTCGCTAATTCCTAGGTACTTATAAGCTTTACCATGCTCCAGTTCCCTAATCTTTGTGACAAAATCTAAATCTATTAAGGGTGTTTCTGTAATTCTACCTTTCTTGAAAGTTACTTTTGCATTATTATTATTATTATTATTATTATTATTATTATCATTATTATTATTATTATCATTATTATTATTATTATTATTATTTCCTTTGATTTCTGTTGTATACACATTTCTTTCTGTGTCCCAACCAGAGAACTAAGGTCAGAAATGGCTTCATGACATTTTGCACTGATTATTTTTGTATATAAAAAAAAAAAAACTAAGACCACACACTTCTTACATAGATAAAGCTCTTTATAATGTGTGAGCTGTATTTGTGGGTACAATTTTTTGTATTTCTTTAAGACATGGGCTACCAGGAACCCCTTCAATGTATCTATCGGAACATTTTCTAATCAATCCGAGGGCTCCAACTACAGCTGTAATTATCGATGTCCTCATGTACCACATTTTTTAGATTTCCACCTCAAGAACCTTGTATTTTTTATAGTTTTTTTTAAGATGATCTTCAAAGATAATTTATTTTAATTATTATTATTATTAATTATTATAATAACTGTCTTTCTGCCCAGCATTTTTTTATGTTTTTAGCTGGTTTTGACTTATTGAATATCAAGCTATATCTGGAAACCTAAGGCATCCAATAATTTTCTGATTGATCGTGCTGTAAACAGACATTCTATATCACATAAAAAACTCAACTGTAAATCTAATTCAATCAACCAAGGACCGAAAGTCTTTGACACTGTTCCTCACGCTCCGGTTACAATAGGCACAATCTCTACCTTTTGGCAATTCCATATTATTATTATTATTATTATTATTATTATTGTAGTCAATTACTAGCTCTGTCCCATAATAGTTGTTATATTGTCATACACATTTCATACGCGAATGTAACAATCATTATGGGACAGAGACAGTACTTTCAATTGGAGTATAGAGAGAGGGGAAGAGGGGGAGAAAAAGAGAGAGGAATGGAGACTGTACTCACGCGCATGTAAGTGCGTGCGATTTTAAAATTCTTTTGTATTTGGTAGACTCGTATAGAATGAATGAATGAATGAACCGTTGTCAAGACAAAATGACTAATCTATTCGATAAGACGCACAAGGGATGCTCTTTCCCAAAAAGGTGACTAATTTCAAGAAGAATGTAAACAAAATAAATTAAAAAAAAAAAATAAAATAAAATAAAAAGAACTTCAACCTTGAAAAAGTATAAAATGAATGACCTGTTTTTTTCAACGCACACACGCAAAGTAAACTATAAATAGACTCAACAATTTGAAAACAGTCAATGAGAAAATGGAAGAATAGTAGGAAAAAAAAAAAAAACGTTGATTTTTTTTTTTAAGGTAACAACAATTCAAGTGCGTCTCACCAAAGCTGCGTAAAAACGAAACGGGTGAGGTTTACCATTTAGTCGATGCTTGCTTGAGCAAAACTTGAAAAAGAAGACATGCACTTATTTACTGAGTGGATAAACGCTACCTTCGTTGAAAATTTAAAAAAAATAACTCTATGAGATACCTGAAACATTGTTTCTCTTTATTGTGCTTGCTTCGAATACACACCCACTTATCACCTTTTTTGGAGTGAAATAGTTTGCTTTTAAAAAAGACACGGTCAGAAATTACAGATTTTTTTTTCATTTGTAAATCGTTCGTAACGCTATTATTTCTTCAGGCTAATAAAAGAAAAAAAACTTTTTTGTTCGTTTTGTTTTTGATAATAATAATAATTTAAAAAAAACGTTAAATGAATTAATGAGAAACAAGAAACGTAGTTTGGTCAGCATCTGAACTGCGAGTAGTAGTGTATCATCGGAGTAGGAGTAGATATAAACACAGTGATAATGATGATAAAATGAAATGTTCGCAGTGGGAGTAGTGATAAGAAAAAGAGGACAAAGGGGATAAGGATGAGGAGAGAAGATACAACGTGTAGAAGGTGGCAAGGGAGGGTAAAAAAAAAGACAAGTCGAGTACGTGATTTTTAATTGAGGATGCGCTTTCGTTTGACGGAAAATTCAAAAATGCAATAACACACGCTGAGGAGATGGAGAATGGAATTGTCGTCGTGTGATGCAACATCGCTGCTTCACGCACACACACGCGCGCACACACACACACTTCATAGGCACCATCGCTTCTCACACTGTCAACAATTTGTAGAATGGTAATGAACAAACTACACAATGATCCGATATTGGATTTCCTTGGTGGTTCTTGTCTTTGGTTATTTCATGTGTGCAAACACTCAGGACGACTTCTCAAGTAGGTATCAGTGAATGCGTCAGTGAATAGATCAAGTAGATGACAAGTGTTTGTATTTCGCGTGAATCGATCCGAAAGTATGAAGAAGAAAAAGAGAGAGAAAGGGATTTGCAAGAAGCTTTGCTGTGTTTTATTTGCTAATAATTGTGAGCACTCCCTAAAAGAACTGTGTATAAGCCAATAAAAATATAGTTTGCTTTGATAGAAAAAAATATTAACTCTGTCTGTCACATAATTGATTCGATGTTTTTATCTTTGGTTGTGGGTTTGACTGTTTTTAATTTGATACTTTTTTTTTCTTCTGCTAAATTTTATCTTTTTAAGTTTGTCTTTTTAAAATTATTTTCTTGCAGAACTGAATTTTTTTATTTCTCTCGCTTTTGATAAATTCACATATGTAATTTTATCAAATACTACACAGCGCGTTATCGAACCAAAAACGCGTGATCATTTTTTAAAATTATCAATAATATTGATTTAGTAAAGGTTTATTTCTGATGCATTTAAAAGAAAAAAAACACATTCACATTTTTTTATTGATGTATTTAACGCAAGCAATACTTTTGCGCGCTTGTATGTCCATGTAGTCTACGTGTGTGTGTGTGTGTGTGTGTGTGTGTGTGTGTGCGCACGCGCGTGTGTGTGTGTGTGTGTGTGTGCTTGTTGTATGGGCTATATGTGCGAGACTGTGTGTGCGTCACTCACGCGCGGATATATATATATATTTATATATATATATATGTGTGTGTGTGTGTCTGTGTGTCTGTGTGCGTTTCACGCTTGCATGCGTTCACAAAGAATATTGAATGAATGAAAAAATTACGGAGATTTCCTTTGTACTACTTCTGTCCCAAAATAGTTGTCACCTTTAGTCTGTGAAATGTGTAGGCAAATGTAACAATTTTTATGGGACAGACATAATAATTCCTTTGAAGATTTATATGTTACATATATGTGCGTGTTTCCATGTCGACAATGTGTAAATTAAATAATTTACACACACACACACGCAGGCACACACACGCATATGTATAATTTGGATTTTTTTTTTACTTTGATATATTTTATTGATGATCCAGCGTTATCAAAAATTAATTTTATTACACACCGAATCAACTTTTAGTTGAATTAATTAAACATTTCTTTTATTCTGACTTATTCCCAATAGATGATTAGTCAAATGTATATAAGAGGAAAAAAAATAATAATTCAAATTTCACATTCAACGTATAAAAAATAAAATGTTCAAAATAAGTGCATCAAATTTTTTAAATTCTTTCATCCAGACTGCAAGAATTCAGTGAATGCAATATACGAAAAAGCGTGTTTATTTTTTCCATATCGTCCAGATGTTTTAGTTCCGCTAAAATTTAACACAACCAAAACTGTCTAATAATGCAATATTTATTGATTTACTTATTGATTTATTTATTGATTTATTTATTGATTTATCGATTTATTTATTTATTTATTAATAAGGCTAAGCCTTAAAAAGTAACATTTAAAACCGCTTTAATGAATGAAATAATCACATTCGATCTTTTTATAATCCCGCTGTACATTTCCAATATGAATGGATTTTTCGAATTAAAAAGAAAATCCCTTTAAAAAATGTATTGGTTTATTTACAATATTTCAG